AAGTATTATCACAACAGGGGGATTAAGATATTGCTTTGTTGCTCGATTTTGGTGAAAAGTTTGATTTATTACTTATTCATTATCTCCCCCTATACTATAATGTTGTCTTCATTTACTAGAATAAATCGTAGTTACTAAGCTGAGTTTTAATTCTTAGTTTATTCTCATTTGTTGTAAATAATTATTATATTTACATATTAAGCACGTAACGACAAGAAAGTTTGTAGGTTTTGATGTAAAGTCCTTTGCTTACTCACAAATAACCTAAAATACTAGCTTTCTTCTTTTCTTCCTGTCCCTCAGAGGCGCGATCAGCGGTAAGGCTGAAGACTTATAACGCTAAAAACCGGGTTTTGATACCTGTGATGGGCACAGCATAGATAGCCCATTGTGTAATCTTTGTGCTTGACTACAAACAAACGTTTTTTTTTTCATTTCACTTAAATTACAGGTTTTGGTGAAGAAAACAAAAATACACAAATAGAAAAAATTATTATCATTATGTTGACTTTTTAAAGTATCTGTTTTGCGATTAAATAAATTTCAATTTGAATCATTTTAATAGTAGTCCCCAACAATGAAATAATTTTATTAATTAATAGTAATATGAAACCAAAACTCATTATTTCACTTAAGAACGGTGGTTACAGTTGTCCCCACTCTGATATAGTGACCTATAATTCCCATGGGCCATTGCGCGAGGAAGTAGTTTATGTAGTTTCTATGTTGACTGTATATCCTTTAGTTTACTATACTAATTAGTATGCTTGTGAATTGAAACCAGGAATGTATGCGTTGTCCAAAGGGTCAAGCAAACTCTTAGGGAAGACAAGGCGGGGTAAGTTATGCAAGTGTGATCTAGCTTTCGAATGAGATTGTAAGGTGTTTTAAACAAGTGTATATATATTGCTTTTTCTTAATTATTCACCAAATTTGTTAACATTAACAATAAAATGTCTAGATATATTGAAACGAGGAATGTATGCGTTGTCCAAAGAGTAAAGCAAATTCTTGGGAAAGACAAGGTGAGGTAAGTTATGCAAGTGTGATCTAGCTTTCGAATGAGATTGTAAGGTGTTTTAAACACGTATATATATATATATATATATA